CAATCTTATTATACGAGAATATGAAATCAAAATCCTTTATCAAATTGTTCACACTGAATCTGAAAGTCGTACATATAATTCTTGTGTGATTGAAGTTGACCTAACCCCCTAAATTATTTCTCTATCTTTATGAGATAGAGATACACAAAATGTGATTGGTAAGTTTTATATTTCCAAGCTTCCAAGCTTCTCTCTTCTCGACCAACCAAGGGAGGGGATGCTGTTGGAAGACGAGTTCTAGTGGTCCAATTTCTTGCAGCTAGAAACACTACTCATCTCCCCCTGATTTCTTGTTCCTTTTCAAAGCTGCAAGTTACCACAGCCGTCGGACAATATCCAAGGGACCACGTTTGGGCCAAAAACCTTAAAGATTAAGAAACTAGAGGCTGAGCCTGAACCAGTACAGTTCTTGGGTGGTTGTGGGGAGGGGATGCTGACTAGAAATAGCGTTTTGCCTAGATTTTTTTATGGACGAAAGTAATATCATTCGTATATATCTCATTTGTACACATGACACACGCTATGTGTTACGTGATTTGCCTTTGATCTTGATGTACTTAATTTTATATAATTGTTTCCTGCAACTTTCAACTTACTTTATAAAATCTGAATTATCATGCATGGAGCTCCAAAAAAAAAGAAAAAAAAAAGAAAAAAAGAGAGCTCAAGAAAAACGAGCGAGTACAAAAATGTGTAACATTCAAGGTTGTTCGACGTGGCACATTTAATACTGTTTTGATTGAGTCTACTAACCATTGATTGAAATGTCTACTTTATAAATAAATAAAAATTAAAAACCCGTTATTCAATTGTTCTTCGGATCTAATGATCTCAAATTTTCGGGAGTATTTTTAATCACCACTTTAATTAAATATGTATGTTCATTATCTTTCTCAATATTTGATACATGTCTATAAATATAATCATAGTTACATAAATTAAAGTAAAAAATTAACCGTGATTATGCTATGGAAAATTTTCGAGGAAATTCAGGAGAAATTAAAGTGATTTTCCAAGGCAAGTCAATGGTCAAGTCCTTCAAACTTTTCCCAACCACCAACTCAGAAAATATACTTTTTCCTTTTTTCTTTTTCTTGTTTTGCTTTTGGTGGGTTTCGTACTAATTTCACCAAAGACTAAGAGAGGGTCTTTCTTTTCTTTGTTTTAAACTAAGCATATTGATCATTGACCAAGTATTAGTCCTCTCCAAAATGCCCTTTATTTTCAAGTAAATTTCATTCAAATTATCAAGTTGGCCTTAAAACAACCACCAACGACTAAGTTAGTTATCAATATTATTTTGATTCAACCACAAGGCCACAATCAAATTTAATTTTGAGTGTGATGTGAATAAATGCGCAACCACTTGAGTTACAAGCTTCGCACGAAAATGCTTACCTTGCCGTATGAAAAGAGTAACCATTGACTAACGGGTCTTTCTTTAGTACAAAGACCAAAGATGCACAAGGACAACATGGTCAATTTATAATCGAACTAAAGCATGAATCAAGTCACGTGTAGTTGAAATGGAGGATATCGACAATAAAAAAACTGTTTGATATTAAAATATTCAAAGTGGGTCCACTTGTGCCCTGACTTGTTTCAATTATAAATCCCCCCTCCCACCACCTCAAAACACACATCAAACACTAGACCACACAAACCCACTACACAACAAGTTCCACAATAATGGAATCCATTTCTTGGGTTGCATACGCTGCCGCATGGCTGGGAGCACTAGCTCTCATCCTCCTCTCCCGCCGCCTCCGCCACCGCAAGCTCAATTTGCCGCCCGGTCCAAAACCCTGGCCCATCATTGGAAACCTCAACCTCATAAGCCAACTTCCCCACCGGTCTATCCATGCACTCGCCCACAAATATGGGCCCATCATGCAGCTCAAGTTTGGGTCCCACCCGGTCGTTGTGGGCTCTTCGGTTGACATGGCTAAGGCCTTCCTGAAAACCCACGACGTTACCTTCGCCGGACGACCCAAATTCGCAGCCGGTAAGCACACCACATACAACTACACGGACATTACTTGGTCCCCTTACGGCCCATATTGGCGCCAGGCCCGTAAAATGTGCGTAATGGAGCTTTTCAGTGCCAAACGCCTAGAATCATATGAATATATCAGAAAGGAGGAAATGAACGCATTGCTCAGAGGCTTATTTGAGTCCTCCAACACCAACATTTTGCTGAAGGATCACCTTTCAACTGTGAGTCTTAATGTTATAAGCCGCATGGTGCTCGGAAAGAAGTACACGGACGAGTCGGAAGACTCGATCGTGAGCCCCGATGAGTTCAAGAAGATGTTGGATGAGCTCTTCTTGCTGAGCGGGGTGTTGAATATTGGTGACTCAATACCGTGGCTTGATTTCTTGGACTTGCAAGGGTACATAAAGAGAATGAAGGCTTTGAGCAAGAAGTTGGATAGGTTCTTGGAGCATGTGTTGGATGAACATATTGCAAAGAGGAAGGCAGGTGGTGAAGACTTCGTTGCAAAAGATATGGTTGATGTGCTTCTGCAACTTGCTGATGATCCTGACCTTGAAGTTAAACTTGAAAGACATGGGGTCAAGGCCTTCACCCAAGTATGATTAATTCTTTTATGCAATAATGCTAGAAGCATTAAAATTTTCCAAAACTCTAGTTGATGTCACATGTCATTTTTAGTGTCTCATGTGTTAGGATGAATTTTAGGCTTTGTCATCTACTCTCGAGTCAATGACAACGAGCCGTTGATTTGTGTGAGTCTTATATGCATTAACGGCTCACAATTACGCGCTTATTTGGGATTGAAATTTTTTTGGTATTTTTTGGTTTTACTCATCTTACTCACGCTTTTGTTGATTGATGGATTCTATTAGGACCTAATTGCCGGTGGAACGGAGAGCTCAGCGGTGACCGTCGAATGGGCAATTTCAGAGCTGCTAAAGAAGCCGGAGGTTTTCAAGAAGGCAACAGAGGAACTAGACAGGGTGATTGGAAGAGAGAGATGGGTTGAAGAGAATGACATTGTCAACTTACCCTATGTTGATGCCATTGCCAAGGAAACCATGAGGCTGCACCCAGTGGCACCCATGTTGGTGCCAAGACTAGCCCGAGAAGACTGCCAAGTTGCTGGCTATGACATCCCCAAGGGCACCAGAATCCTAGTAAGTGTCTGGGCCATAGGAAGAGACCCTCAACTTTGGGACAACCCAGAAGAGTTTTGCCCTGACAGGTTCCTTGGCAAGGACATCGATGTCAAAGGCCAAGACTTTGAGCTGCTCCCATTTGGGTCAGGCAGGAGGATGTGCCCTGGCTACAGCCTTGGCATCAAGGTGATCCAGGCAAGCCTGGCCAATCTCCTACATGGGTTTACATGGAGATTGCCTGACAACTTGAAGGAGGAGGATTTGAACATGGAGGAAATTTTTGGGCTTTCAACTCCAAAGAAGTATCCTCTTGTTGCAGTCTGTGAACCTCGTCTTCCACCTCACGTTTACTCACTCTGATTTTTGTCCTAGTTTCAGTTACTTCTCTTCTTCCCTCTGAATAATTACTATTGGGATGCTAAGTTTTACTACAAAAATAAATTAGCACTATTGTAAAATTGTGATGTGTGTGATCAAAATCCAGAGGCTCTTATTGTAATTTCCTGTTCTTTCCATTTTTCTCCTCCTCTGATCTGTTTTGCTATTACCGATCAATCACAAAATGCCACATGAAAAAATTATCACACATGACATACCGTGATCGGCCAGGGATAGCAATTTCATGTAAGTGTTTCCACAACCAGACATCTAAACTATACATTTGATGGGTGAGTTCCACTTGCTGACACACTAGAGTGCTAGTTGCCTCGGAATCCACTGGTATAAATTTAATCACTATTTTCACTGAACAATATTGCAAATCAATTGCAGAAACTTGACTAAATGATGAAAAGAGTTTGAATATGGGGGCCATCTTAGATTAAATAAAGGAATAATTGATGAAAGATAATAATATGATTCAGACTAATGACTTTTATTGCTGATTCACTGTGTGTATATATATATATATATATAAATACAACTATAATAAACATATCTCAATCCTTGAGAAGAAGAGATCACTTAATTTAATAGATGCGACGACAACTTACCTCAAGTTTGTCTCCTATTTGGGCGGGGCCTCCACTAAAAGCCAACTTTGTAAAGGTTGTTGTAGTTGCAAAACTTATCTTGTCACCATACAAGACTTCTCAAAATCTGAGCATAGCAACCATGGTTTTCAGCTAACACAGCTATTACCCAGGATCATATGGAAGGCAATGACAACGGCATCAAACTCACATCTCACACAGAAAAAGTATCAATATCATAACCCCAAAAGACCAGGTCATGCGTTTGCAAACTTTGCATGCTGAAGCCTAAAATGTGCATTATTTCAAAAGTCATATCAACGTCCCTCTTTTGCATATTATCTAACGCCAGTTTGTAAGGATGTGGCCGTGAGCTACTTACCCCGCTTCTATGCTTTACGTTTATGCTGGCCCACTCTATTGATACGGACTTGGTACTAACCCTAAGTCATGCTGGCCCACTTTATTGACACGGACCTGGTACTAACTCTAAGTCACGCATTCCTTAAATAATTGTGTAGCAAAATTAGGATTTGATACCAATTGATTATAGTCATGACATGAGTATAACTTGTCCCTTAAAAACCAGCTTATAAGAAAAAAAAAATGACAACTCTTAAATCATACCGATTAAGGAATAGAACCTCATCTAACGACCTTACTATAGAAGGACTCATCTAACATATTCCAGGCATAGATCGACACTTTACAAATTAACGAAGTATGGTCATTGGCACTAGAACCCAAAATGAACCCATTGCTCTTCACAATTAGAAGCCCACATATAGTTAGTAGGCCCAAAGATATACATTGGGCCAGCCCATACATGACATGTCGTAACTTAAAAGAGGGAGGCCTAGTGCGCGCGCACAAACGAGAGTAAAACGACATACCGGGAATGAGATCAAGCATTGTGAGAAAGCCGTTAAGTCTAACGGCGACACTACTCCGCCGTTACCGTTTCTCAAGTCCGCCGTCGTTTCCATCTTCGCGCTTCTCTTCCTCTTCAGCTCCGATAGGCTCCGCCGCTGCGGACAGCTCGGCGGCGACTCAGTGCAGCGGGTTGACTCGTTTGGCGTCGCTGGTGGAGGGCTGCGACTACGAGCACTGGCTCGTGGTTATGGAACCTCCTAAGGGCTACCCTCTTCGTGATGAGATCATCAATGGCTACATCCAAACCCTAGCCACGGCCCTCGGAAGGTAAAAACTGACAAAACGCCATCAGGGTTAGCGTTTTAAGTTGCAAAGTTTGAAACTTGAATTATTGTTAATTATTATTTTTAATTGTTTTTATTTTGCATTTGTTTTTTCAACTAGTTTGTTGTATAATTGCAGTGCAGAGAAGGCAAAGAAGTCAATTTACTCTGTTTCTACAAAGTACTACTACGCATTTGGCTGCAAAGTCCCAGAGAAATTGACTTTTAAGATCAAATGTAAATTCTTCAAAACTCTTCTATTCCATTATTATTATTATTATTATTTAAAGTTTTTAATTTGGTTTTGAAAAAACAAAATTGGTTGCAGCTCTGCCCAATGTGAAATGGGTTCTACCAGATTCTTACTTGTGTCATGGTGAAAATGACTATGGAGGTATTTTTTTTTTCTTGGTTTATCTTCATTTCTTCATGTTGAGCTAGATTTTTTTAATATCTAAAGTGGAAGCTACATGATTCATGAACAATGATGTTTTTAAGAGATAAGAAGAGAACATTGAAAAATATGGATTTTGAAAGATTATTGATATTGGTATGATTCATTGCAAATAAATCCCAAGTCATAACTCATCAAGTGGAATTAGAATGTAAGCCCTACTCATCATAATACCATGTAGACTCATCAAGGTAATCTCAAGCCACAATGACTTGGTTCATTTCAGTAGGAAAATGAAGTTTGATTCTTGTTTCCAAGAAGAGAAAATTCCATAGGTGATCCGTCGTTGTCTAAATGCATTGGTTTTGGACAGGAGAACCTTTGGTTGATGGTGGGGTTGTTCCATATGATGAAAAATATCATGCAGACTGGGTGTGTGAGGAAAATGACAGAACAGTTAAGTCTTGATCACACTTAAGCCCCCGAATTTTTACCCTCGACTAGTTAGTTTCGATCTGGATGCTCAAGTGTTTCACCTCCTGGAGATTTAAGCAGTAAGACGTTACAATGAGAAACTTTTTTGGTAATATATGAAGAGATGTAGCTATATACAGCATTGCAGATATAGACTTGTTTTAGAAACTTAATTGTATCTTTGGCTCCAACCATGGAGTTTTTTATATTTACATTATCACATGGTTTTATCTTCAAGCTAAACCTAGTTTTTGCCTTCTCCCACAAAAAATTTGGTTAAAATTTGCATTGCATTTATGTATCCCAAATCCTTGTCTAACCGTACTTGGTTTGAATTGGGGATGCATGATCCTTTCTGCAAATCCTTGAATTGGAGGGGACCCACTTTTTGTTATAGTCATAGGCAATAGCAAATTCTTCAGTTGCATCAGCACGTAACTTGTGATTTAGGCCAACTTGGGATTTGGGTGGGGTTTGGTGCAAGTGTTGAAATATGAGGCTGGCCCCGAAATCTGCTGGGTGGGTTGTTCAAACCTTTGATTGGTGCGCCATGCCGTTTGAGCTGATTTTGAACACACAAAAAAAGAAGAAATATTCATGGAAATTGACTTTGGAATATTGAATACATTATTTGCACTGGAGAATCTAATGGAAGATTAGAATAGTATAGGGTTTGATCAATCCACCAACATGAGGCCATAAATAATTTAAACAAGATCATCTTTTATTCTTTCTATGACTTCATAGTTTGAAATAAACATTTTTTCCATTTGAAGGAAAAACTCGTTTTATGGGAAAGCATAGAAAATTGAAAACAGAGTGCTCTGAGAAAGACAGAGTTGTCTCAAAGTACTTGTATTTCTTGTAATAATGTAAGAGAAGCTACAAAAACTCTGAAGCCAAAGACCCCACATGAACATCATACACAAGGGAAGATCTCCAACAAAGTGCAACAAATAAAACAACCCTAATGTATTATGGTACACATATATGCTTATAGTTTTTCTTTTCTTCTTCTGTGTTTGTTCTCCTAATTGTCTCGAATGCTTATTTGGGAGAGTATAAACCAGTTCCAAGAATTCTATACAGAGCTGTATCAGAATAAACAGTGCTAGACCTCAATGACTTAATCCGATTTCTATACCGATGACCTTTTCGGCTCCTGTGGCGACCCTTCGCTTTCACTTCCACCTCTTTTTCCTCACCATTTTTCCCATTTTTCACCACTTCACACTCAGCTTGACCCTCTCTTTCAATTTTATACGCGGGAGCTTTGTTTTTTTCCTCAGTTGGAACAACGTACACAAAGGGTCCAATTGGAATGTCATTCAAATCCATCAGAGGCTCTAAGGTCTTGACCACAGTGCTCATTGTTGGTCTACACTTGGGGTTATGGCTAAGGCACTGATGAGCTAATGCAGCTGCTTTCCTAGCACCTTCGGTTGAGTACTGACCCTCGAGTCCCGGGTCCATCACACGGTCAAGTTTATGTGAGTCCTTCAAAAATGGTTTAGACCACTCCACCAGGTTCTGTTCTCTACCATGGCGGCTCTCATCCACGGACCTTCTACCTGTTAGTAGCTCCAAAAGAACTACACCGAAGCTATAGACATCGCTCATAGTCGTTAAATGACCTGGAAAAAAAGAGTGTATATGATTAGTGAGCTGTGGAAATTTTCAAGGCCACTGATGAAAAGAAGGAATGAAAGTAGTAGCTTAAAATCAAATTGCATTACCTGTCCTGACATATTCTGGAGCTGCATAGCCATGAGTGCCCATGACACACGTTGTAATGTGCGTTTCATCTCCTTCCGGGCCATCTATGGCTAGACCGAAATCAGAGAGCTTGGCTGTGTAATCCTGGGGAGAAAAAGACAGATATTAGTACTCAATTTTTTCTGGAACTTCTTTTGTTTTGTATGAGCCATATTTATATGCTTGTATTAAGCGCAGAAGAGAGCTAAGTAGAAAAATTACAGAGTCTAGTAAGATGTTTGAAGCCTTAAAATCTCGATATATGACTTGCTTTTCTTCTTCATGGAGGCTGCTGAGGCCTTTTGCAGCTCCAATTGCTATTTTTATTCTTGTTAACCAAGGCAGGGTTCCACCATAACCTGCATTAATGAACAAACATACAAATTCATAAGTTCTGTCATCCTGCTAGTAAAATTGTGAACTCCCAAATCAATATTTTCTGATTGTTTCAAAACAAAAATCCTGCATGCATGATCTTAATTATTTGCAGTTAAATGTTAGCAGATGGTATATTTACATTTGAATAGTCGATTTTCTAGGTTGCCCCTCTCCATGTACTCATACACAAGAAGCCTATGTTCGTCTTCGCAGCAGTAGCCGATCAAGTTAACAAGATTGGGGTGCTTCAATTGCCCAAGAAAAATCACTTCAGCCTACAAATACAGAAGTTTTTGAGAATTAGCATTTTTTTAACTTAGGAAGCGTATGATATTGTTAGCAACATAAAATTTGAAATGGGCTAAAAAAAGCAAGAACAAAAACAAAAAGCTTACCAGCCACTCCCGATGTCCTTGTTTGCCATCTAAATCCAACACCTTAACAGCCACAGGTTGAGCTTCCAACCCAGGCCTAAGCTTGTCATCAATGAACCCTTTGTATACCTTCCCAAACCCACCTTCATCAAGATAGTTGCTCTTAGAGAAGTTTTGGGTAATCTTTTTGAGTTCCTTCTGTGTAAAGATATGAAGGTTTGATCCAATAAGTGAATTTGACAGATCACTGAGGACAGTGCAGATTGATGAATTACTCACATCGGAGAGTGACAATCTCCGCGAATAGATTTCTTTCGACGTCTGGGATTTTTGATCTGAGATTGGTTTGTTGGTTTTGAAACAACCTGGTGTCAGTAAGTTGAGCGCCAGTTTTCTGAGACTCATATTTTACTGAGGCTATATGGTCTCAGGATCAGGTGAGTTAAAAGAAGCCTTGTTTGTGTGGCCAAAACATATAGTTGGATTAAATTAGAGAAAGATCTAGGGGGAATAGCTAAATATATAAGGTATATTCTACAAGACTCTGCAAAAAGAAGTCAATGATCCAATGATGATCATAAGTTAACCAACCATATTCTTCTTTTCTATTTTGTTTGATCTTCATGTCTTACACAATAAAATATATGATTCTTGAAACCATTTTATTTCATTTTCAGTCCTGAGTCTAAAGTAGTGTATAAACTTTGGTCTCTTCAAGACTTGGAAGATTCACAGCAGAAGAAGAAAAAGACACTTTTGGATGGTTTCATATTATGTAAGACCAGGTCTCTAAAGCCTTTTTTTTTCTTTTTTCTTGATCATGTGTCAGATTAATTAGCGGAGTTTAGGTTCAAGTGTGTTTTTGTTGGTCTTTGTGAGACCTCTAAGAATTGATTGGGAAACTATATATTTTTGTGGCAAGACTCATTCAAATGGAAACACATATGTTCTCATTTCCTTGTACACTTCCAAGTCTGGCTTTTCCCCCATGACTGCAGCAATTAGTGTTTTGGGTGCATGCACCATAAATTTACTACATGTATTTTATTCTAACAATGGTAACTTTTGTGCTTTGGAAAGCAGAATCTCCCAATATCTGGTACCGTTTGCTCTAATTGTTTGCTCTTGGCTATAAACACAGCAATTAGATGACAGATTGAAATTTTTTTCAAAAACCAAATCCCAGAACCTGTTTGGTAACCTTTTCATTTTTCCTTTATTATTAATTTTTCGGTTTTTTGGTTAAGAGATAGAGATGAAATATGTTAGAGAAAGGGAGGGTTGAAGAAATGTGTATGGAATGCTATGTAAAATGAAAAAACTGAAAAATAATTTTACATTTTTCAAGTTTTTGTTTAATTCATTCTCTTTCATTTCTAACTCCTCTCTCACGCTCTTCATTGAACTTTTCCTCCATATATTTCCTCTCTATCTCTAATAAAGGAAAATGAAAACTAAAAACTAAAAACTACAACGTTACCAAACCAATCATTAAATTTCGACTAACGTGAATATATGTTTGATTTGTTTATATTGTGTACCACTAATATATCCTCGACCTGTTACATAATTCTATGACTAAAATTTGGTAGGGACTACGGTAACACAAATTATTGAACGATGAACTTTAGGAAAAGCAAAATGAATCATCTACCAATAGATGATAGACCTTTGTTGGTTACCACCTACATGATGAGCAAATGTAAACTTTAATTTTATAATTTGACGCAACCAAAAAGAAAAAGAAAGAAAGGCTCATAGTCATCCATTCACTGCTTTCCTTGGGACCGCCGTGTGAAATTGAGGCAGACTCAAAAAGTTACAGCCAGCTTAGGATACAAAAGGAGGTCAGCACATTTTGTAAGACCTACAATATTTTTTGCTTCAAGAGGTTGTAACCAAGAAAGTCAAGTGACTAATTATTTCCACTGATCTTCCATGAAATTTCGATTAAATCCTCTGTTTGTGTTTTCAAAGACAAAAAAATGAAAGTTCAAAAGCTAAATTTTTTAACCAAAAACAAAAAACAAAAAACAAAAGGGCTCTCTCTGCTTGTGTATGGGTGACGAATTAAAGCTGACGTATTTTCATTAGATCAACCCCATTACTAGTTGATGATTTCTGGTTCTCAAAAATTTAAAAATGACAAAATAAAAGTATAGCTTAGTTAGTTGAGCTCTTACCCCTTCACTCATACGGGCAGAGTTACAAAATCCCCAGACCCCAATGAATATTTGTGTGTAAATCTCCCTCTCCCAATCGCTTGTACTAAAAAAAATGACAAAATAAAAACAAAGTTTAGGGTATTTTCTGCTATAAAAAGAAAAAGTTTAGGATATTTTGTGACATGATTAGACGACACCAGTAGGAAATATAGAGAAAATCGCAGATGGCTAAGGGGTTTTTATTTTGCTTGTGTAATGGGGCGCATGACATTTGATATTTTTGCATGCTGCAATTGTACCTAACAGCAAGGAAACATATTGCCTCCATTAAAGGTTGATTTGATACTTTGATGGAAAACTTGGCTATAATCGTCTATGGTCAACAGCAAGAACGTCAAGAACGATGCCTCCAATAGGGTTTACAGAAACCTTGTTACAATCTCCCACAAGCCAACAAGAATTTCAAGTAACACCAGATGCCGGCTTCTGATAGTTGACGGACAATGCAGCAAGGAATTTTGTCATGCTTTATGGTCACAAAACCCATCAATGCAGGGGTGAAAATAGATTTAAAACAAAACCTACGGCCACATCAGTACTAAACCCTCATTTTGACGAGAAACACTTGTGTGATATAGGAATAGCACTATTTGGCTATCCCGGCCAATCATAGTGTGCCACGCATAATCACTTTACTATTTGGCATATCATGATTTGCCAGGGATAGCACATCCCCGTTTCACGAAGTTATTCTGCATTTTGAGCCCCCAAAGAGAAACATTTTGTACACTTTGCTGCTTTCTTAAACATAAAGAGTAGATTTCCGGAACGGGCGGCATCCCAAAGTTATATGACATTCTGATAAACAAGGTACATAAACTTGAAGAAGAAAGCATTAGAGGGAGAGTTCCTCTCTTTTTTTTTTTTCTTTTTTTTAATTATTGACTTTATAAAGATTATACAAAAAATCTCGACGAAGTAGAGCTTCAAGCAGTAAAGCGTGACTAAAGAAACATAAAGACTTGGATGAATCAAAGATTGGAAAATTGCATATGGCTAAAAATACAAAAAGATGATGTTTACATCGGGTAGAAGAAAATAATCGCTATAGACAACACAAGAACCTTGATCTCAGACTAGGCAGCTCCAATAGATGGATGTCACAGAACTTCTTATACAATTAGCAGAACTTCCTCCTTAAATATACAACTGTAGAACAACAATTGGAAGGGCCAAAAAACAAATTAGCAACTATACAAGTCATTTGGACTACTTTATTTATCAGATTTGGTTTTAACCAATATGAAGAATTTATACCTTGTCCATAACATAGCCGCACAAAAGCTATATACAGAAAGAACCTGCAACATTTACCAGAGTAAGTACAACACAGAAATACATACAAAAATATAACATTCCAAATAGGTACAACAAATCAGCAGAGATACACAAACATCAGCTGTAGTTACCTTGAGTGAACAAAAATGCATCGCCAGAATTGCCACAAAACAAAAATAAGGAACACTCTGACATGAGATGATGTCATTTGTCTACTGTGGCAATGCTATCTGACAACAAGACTCCCATTCTGCTGAAGTCTTAAATTTTCAATAAGAGACTGGTAGAATGACTTCAATGCCTTGATATCACTACCCTGCAGAAAAAATGAGCAAAAAAAAAAATCATAAACCAATAATTGGAAATGTTCTACTAAATATTGAGCTCTGGTTTATTTCTGTAAGCAACACTTTTAAGAACATCCTGTAAACCAACCCCAAATCCACTGGAATAAGCTCAAGACACTTGACCAACATCTTCAAATAGGTAAATATTGGAACAACATGACACACGTGCATTCACAGATCAACATATTAGATGACAATATTACATTAACACAACAGGTAAATATCACCAACCTTGACATCTTCTCATAATATCATATTACAAATTTAACACTCTTCAGGGAAACAACAAACTGATACTAGTAGCTTAATTAATATTAGCGGTGGCATTTGGCAACTGCCAGAGTGATGGGAAAGAACAGAGGCCATTCCTTTTCTTTTTCCTAATTTCTTTTAACTTAGCCTACTCAATTATTAGACTACTTTACCCCTTTTTTAATATTTTCTTCACTTTTAACCGTTGTAGTTATTGATGAAATTCTATGGAAAATCAGTATATGTCATCCAATAACCAAAGTACGTATTAGCACCACTCCAAGGAAATAGATATGCATAAACTACAGGAACAAATAAAGACAAAAATGACAAAATGCATCAAAACGAAACACTTTTGTATTTGGTCCACCAAAACATGGTAATCTACAGCCACTTTTTTATACCTGCAGCTTCTGGCAATATGTCTCAGCCAAATCTTGGGGGCAATGCGCTGCTGGAAAACCTTTTGAGACAAAATGAACTAGAAAATCATTGCCAAACTTTTCATACATGACCTTCTGAGCCAATACAATTTCTCCAAACAAAACAAGCTGTGACAAATGAAAATAACAATTATCAAGGTAAGTATGAAGTAATAAAATAAATCCAAGGAAAATTATAAATAAAAGTATTCGTCAGCAACTTCTCATATAATTATATAATAAATCCAAGGCAAATTATAAATAAAAGTATTCGTCAGCAACTTCTCATATAATTATATAATAAATCCAAGGCAAATTATAAATAAAAGTATTCGTCAGCAACTTCTCATATAATTGAACACTACTAAAAGAAAACATCTCTGTCTCCAAATCTGCTTCAGCAATTTAGTCCTCTTAGTTATATGGTGTATGGTCTACTCTTCGTTTTATGGTGTATATTCTGCTCTTCCTTTTATGGTTTAACAACGAAAACTATCAATAAAAGTATCACAAAGATTATTAATTCCAATCTTACAGTATTGGCGTCACGAAACTCGAAAGAGTTGTCAAGCAGGCTGTACAAACAACAGTTTGTAGCGAAGTTCTCTATTATAAAACTCTGGAAACCAGGTACCTGAAAACAAGGACCCCATATTAAGATGAAAAGCAACATAGTTTAACATTACCAAGCAGGAGGACTAAAGGTAAGCTCCTACCTTTTCTTCACCATTAGGCATCGCACACCAATCTCTGATCAGTCTAATAAATATCTGTACGCATACCTAAGTTACAGCAATAATATGTTAGAAATTATCCTAATGCAGAGTAATTAGAATGAATAAGAACAACACACCAAAGGTAAACCAAGAACAGATACCTTTCTTACAAGAATATCCTTGTGCTTACAAGATGTGAACAAAAGCAACTGCATGATTGGCTGCAA